AGCTGGTTATTCTAGTTAGCATTTTGTCTAACCTTTGTTCAAGGTTTTTGGTTTCTTTTTTCAAAATTTTTGAGTTAGAATGTGTTCCTTTAGCTCAGAAACTTTTTATTATCCACTTGCTGAAGCCTGTTTCTGTCAATTTATTGCACTCCTCAGTCAAGTTGTGATCCTGTGTTGTTGAGTTGTGATCCCCTGAAGGAGAAGAGGTGTTCTTGTCTTTGATGGTTTCATCATTTTTGCACTAGTTTTTTCCCATCTTTGTGGATTTACCTGGCTATGGTGTCAGGGAGCTGCTTGATGAGGTCAGTTGTCTGCCTGCAGAGGTGCTACTGGATTTCTAGGGACTCCTTGAGGTTACTAGGGAAGCTTCCGGTGTCTTTTTTGTTTATACTGGGAGATTAGGCCTGCCTCTTCCACTGACCTGTAGGTGACCCAGGTGCTGCTGGGTTGTCAAGAACACCGTCCCATTGCTATGTAGGCTTCCTGTGTTTTTTGTTAAAACATGTAGCCCAGTCTCACCCCTCTAGTGGTGCATTGTGCCCTTCCTCCACTGGGCTTGATCTCAGACTGTGGCACCGGTTTTGCAACCCACTGGAGTCAGAGCTTCAGCCCTCTGGGGTTTGTGGGGGAGGGTAGGGACCCACCCAGCTGCACCAGGCTGTCTCCCCCTTTCAGCTTCCTCTCTCTCAGGTCATGGGGCAGGGGCCTTCCTAGCTGCTCCTGCTTACAGCTCCCTCTCTCTCCGGGCTGGGGGAGGGGGCAATAGCTCAGTCCACAGGCTCTTATTCAACTCTGCACTTGTAATTCCTGGTGCTTGACTGGCAAAGATCTCCTGTTCTGTGTATTGCTGAGGCTTTGGGGGAAGTGCTGTATCTGGACTGGAGTGTCAGAGAGGGAGCCTCCAACTCCCTGGTCAGATGCACTTTGTGGGTCAAGCAGCACCCCTCCTCACCTTAGTCTGCCCTGTTTGCTCACCATTGGTCCAGACCATTGAAATGCACCTGGGACCTCAGTTGGAGCTAGGAGATCTCTGGATTTTTGCATCTCTCTTGCTGTGTGTTGTGTGCTGGAGTTGTGTCTAATTGGCCATCTTGAATCTGTAATCCAGATCTCTGGATTTCTGCATCTCTCTCACTGGGTGTTGTGCACCAGCGTTGTGTCTATTTGGCCATCTTGGAGAGTCCCCTTGAGGCTCTTTTCTAGAGTGGGCAGACTACATTAGTGTTATTCTTTTTTCTTTCGACTGCTCTGTGTATTTTAGATAGCCTGTCTTCAAGCTCATTCTTTCTGCTGCTTGATCAATTCTGCTTTTGAGAAACTCTGATGCATTTTTTAGTTTCACAAGCCCTCTTGTGACCACCGTTGCTAGGACTATGCTGGGTCAATACTGGGTCACGCCTGAAGCCAGCACAGTCCTGGGTTATGCCCAAGGCCTGTAGGAACTATTTATTGGCTACTGCTGTTGTTTATTCAAGGCCCAAAGAATATATATAGTATACATTAGGTTCTTTTAAGTTTCCCCATAGTTCAGGGATTCTCTGTTCATTTTTGTTTTTATTTTTAATTTTATTTTTTATTGTACTTTAGGTTCTGGGATACATGTGCAGATCATGCAGGATTGTTGCATAGGTACATACATGGCAAGGTAGTTTGCTGCCTCCATCCCCCATCACCTATATATGGCATCTCTCTCCTGTGTTGTTCAACACCTGCCTATGAGTGAGAACATGTGGTGTTTTGTTTTCTGTTCTTGTGTCAATTTGCTGAGAATGATGGTTTACATATTCGTCCATGTCCCTACAAAGAACCCAAACTTATCATTTTTTAATGGCTGCATAGTATTCCATGATATGTATGTGCCACATTTTCCTTGTCCAGTCTATCATCGATGGGCATCTGGGTTGGTTCCAGGTCTTTGCTATTGTAAACAGTGCTGCAATGAGCATAGATGTACATGTGTCTTTATAATAGAATGATTTATAATCCTATGAGTATATATCCAGTAATGGGATTGATGGGTCAAATGGAATTTCTATTTGTAGGTCCTTGAGGAATCGCTACACGGTCTTCTACAATGGTTGAACTAATTTACACCCCCACCAACAGTGTAAAAGTGTTCCTATTTTTCCACATCCTTTCCAGCATCTGTTGTCTCCAGATTTTTTAATGCTCGCCATTCTAACTGGTGTGAGATGGTATCTCAATGTGGTTTTGATTTGCATTTTTCTAATGACCAGTAATGATGAGCACTTCTGTATATGTTTGTTGGCCTCATATATGTCTTCTTTTGAAAAGTGTCTGTTCATATCCTTTGCCCACTTTTGAATGGGTTTGTTTTTTTTTTCTTGTAAATTTGTTTTAGTTCTTTGTAGATTCTGGATATTAGCCCTTTGTCAAATGGGTAGGTTGCAAAACTTTTTTCCCATTCTGTTGGTTGCCAGTTCACTCTAATAATTGTTTCTTTTGCTGTACAGAAGCTCTAGAGTTTAATTTGATCCCATTTGTCTATTTTGGCTTTTGTTGCCAATGCTTTTGGTGTTTTAGTCATGAAGTCCTTGCCTATGCCTATGTTCTGAATGGTTTTGCCTATGTTTTCTTCTAGGGTTTTTATGGTGTTAGGTCTTATGTTTAAGTTTTTAATCCATCTGAAGTTAATTTACATTTTTTTAGCTTTTTTTCTCTCAATGCTTTATTTTAGTAAGTCCTGTCACTGTGTCTTCAAGTTTACTAATCATTTCTTCTGCACTGTGCAGTCTGTTGTTCATCTCATTTGGTGTAATTTTCATTCCAGAGTTTATAGGGGTTTTTTTTTTTTGTTCATTTGTTTTTTTGTTTAAAGATCTTAGTTGGCCTTATTTGTGATTCTAGAGTTGGGCAAAACTTCATTCCATAAAACAGAATAAGCATTTTCTCAGAAACTGTAGTTTTAATTTTTAGAAATTTGATCTGGGTCTTTTTTATATCTGCCATGTCTCTCCTTAGCATTCTTATCTTACTAATACCTTCTTTAACCTATGAAAGATATTTTTAATAGTTGTTTTAATGTGTTTGTGTACTAATTCTATTATTTGTGTCATTTCTGAGTCTGTTTCTAATGATTGATTCTCTCCTTATTATGTATTATATTTTCCTCTGCTTCTTTGCATGTCTGGTGATTTTTGACTGGATGCCACATATTGTGAATTTTACATTATTGTTTGCTAGATTTTTAAAAAATCATATAAATATTTTTAAATTTTACTCTGGCTTGCAGTTATTTGGAAATAATTTAATCCTTTCAAGGCTTACTTTTGATGTCTATAAGGAGGAACCAGAATGACCTTTAAGGTAAAACTAATTTGGTTCTGCTACTGAGGCAATATCCTTCTGAATACTCAACACAATTTACTGTATATTGTGAGATTTCTTCACTCTTGCTGTTGGAAACATGGAATGGTATTTAGTAGGAATTAAATATACAATCGTAAATAATCTTAGTAATTTTATGGTTTAAATTTCTTGATTTGACTTTGTACCTTTGAATCCATTGTAGATTGATATAGAGTCTCCCAATTTTAAATTAACCTCGCAATTACCCTAAGAACCGCTTTCATAAATTAAATTTTTTTAATTATACTGCAGCTCTTGGAGTATAACTCAAGATACTAGGCACTTCATACCCTGAGTGATTTAGAATTACTTCCATCTAACATCTCTTTAAAAAGAAGAAATAAAACTCTAAAAAGTATAAAACTACTAATTGAAAGACTAATCTCTAGTCATCTTTGATACCTATTTCATAGGTGCTAAAAAATAACCAAATAACCGTATAATATAGTTAAATTTTAAGTCTACTTTAAATGAACCAGATCAAGCCATCTATATTTTAAGGCTGAGTTTTACTGACTTATTTTTCTTGAGGTGTATAAACAACTTTTTAAATATATTTATCTTTCACCTTACTTAAGCTTATATTCTTGGAGAGATTTTAATTCTGTGGAGAATAAGAATGTGTTACTTAGTAATAGGTCTAATAATTATTTTTGTTCCTTCTGTACTTGGGAGATCCATCGGTAGAAGGGCCCAAGACTTTTGATTGGGAACATAGTGGGAGATGGAGAACCTAAGTGGTTTGGGCTAAGAAGCTGGAACAGAACTCCAAAGCAGGATCTGACTAGCATTCATATAGAGCCAGCACGTATTCCAAGCTGCATACATTGCCTCCTAATTCCAAAGAATCCTACAAATGCTATCTAAGCCTGCCAACCACCAGCCCACTCAGCTTTCCACCTAATTCCTCATCCCCAAACCTTACAGAGAGTTTCATAATTAAGTTATTTTACTCTATAATTATATGTGTATAATAACTTCAATAATTTTTTGTTGCCTTTAGCCTTTGTAATTCTTATAAGAGGTATTATGCATTCTGACCAATAAAGCTTAGGTGGGGAAAACCTTTCCAACTGCAATAATTACATTTGGTTTGCATATACATGGTTAAGCTGCTCTGTCTATTGTTTTTGGTGTCAATATTTTTCTGTGTGTTTTATAACTTTCCCTTTTATAACTGCAAATTTTGGTCCAAGTTTTAAAATATACCATATTAAGAAATACATTGTTTTCATAAAATCACACTATTAAAATTAAATTATAAGTACTCTAAAATCTTCCTTGCTTTTTAAATATTAAGATTAAATTTCTAATACAGGTAATTATGTGTTTACTTGCTCCACTTTCCTATAATTGGGAATAGAATCTTCCCTGAGGAGCTAGCATATTAGCAGGTGAATCTGTTATTATTGTTATCAACAGGCTTTTTTTTTAAGAACCTTTATTTACGTTTTTAAACAAGAGAGTCAAGCCAGTTTAATCAGTTGACAAAACCCCGTGCACGAACAAGTACAAGACTTTAGGCAGAAAAAAGTAATGAGAAGAAATTGTGTTTATCTCTAGATTTTTTTCTTTTTTGGCTCAAGAGTTTATTTTGCCTCAGCTTTACACGCATTCTTGTGACGTTACAGGACTGGGGAGGGAGGAAGTAAAAGACGGAGCTGTGACTGTGGTACGTATCTGCAAGCAAGTGTTAAAGAGGGAGAGGAGGACGCAGAAGCAAGCTGGTTTGACCAGAAACAGAACTGCCTGTGACAGATTAAGAGACAAGCAAGGCTTGGAATCTGAGAGCAAGCAAAGAGAGTGGAAATTTACAGCTGCTCTCTGTGAGTGTTCAAGTGATCATTTTCTGGTAACGTTTTCCGGTGGTAACTGTTACTCTTCAAAGAGAGAGACAGAAAGTCAAGACAGAATTGTGGAAACTCTTTTCTCTTCTCTGCCACGCTTAGTAACAGGAGGCAACCTCTATTAAATGGACAATAAAGGCTATTTCATCTAAAGTGCTTTGAGCTCAAGAAAGAGCTGTCTTCAGCACCTCACCATGTGTCTACATTTTGTTGCTTAGACAAGCCAAGTCATTTCTGTAACGTTTGGTAAGTATGAACAAGGTTATCCATACTGGTTTATAGAAATGGAACGAATATGGTAAGCTTTAGTTTTAATTGAGGTTCTGTAGTTATTACTTATATATTCATTATAAACCATGCTGGTTCCTTGTTTCTTTGTGCATAATGAATTGCTGTTACTAGGAGAGGTTTTAAAAAATTACAAAACAATACTTCTCTGTTGCCTAAGGCACTTGAACCATTATCAACGATTCTGTGTCCATGGAATATCATATTTTGGAAATGGGTTTTTATTTACAAAGAGTTTCCAAAAATAGTGGCAGTACAGTATACCATTTTTCATATTTCTCTTTCAACTGCATGAAAATTCAAGTTATCTCTGTCTCTTGTTAATAAATTTTAAATTATCACTGTGATGTTATGTATTAGAGATTATAGCATTCTCTTATAATTTAAATAAAAATGTTGATACTATTAATTAAAAGGATATATAATTTAAATGTTGACTGCTTCTGTTAGACCCAGTAAGGGATACCTGAGTTTTCCTACTTTATGTAAAATGAATGAATGCATTTGGATTTATAAGTAAAGAATAAAGCAGTTATTTTTTTCTCACAGTTTATACTAAGCTTTCCTCTCATATAATCTTATTCTGTTGAAGAGCAATTATAATCTGATCTGTGTGTGTTTGTGTGTGTGTGTGTGTGTGTGTTTGTTTGAGTTTGTATAAACAAAGAGCAAGGAAAAATAAACTCTTAAAATATCTATTCACATATCAATAAAGCCTTCTTTGTATAATCTTAAAACAGGAGAGTGTATACTAATTATATACATCTTTTTAAAGGCATGGATGAAGGCATGTAATCATTCTTCCGTAGGAGGAAGGAAGTGTATGTTGTTAACTGTGAAACTGAGTCACTGCATGAAGATGCACCACTCTAAGCAGAGTTTCTAAACTACCCTCTGCTAGCCTCAAGAAATATATATGTCTTTAGTTATGGATTCAAGTGAGTCCTTTAAGGCAAAACAACAGAAATGAAAACTTCTGCAGAGTATTAGTAAACATATTAAAAGGGCTTGTACCCTAGATAGACTATAAAATGGCTGTACTTTCTCTAACATTTCCTCTATGTGTACAGAAGCCTGTAGAACAGGTTTTGTTTTGTGGGATTTTGTGGGTTTTTTTTTTTTTTTTAGACTGTTGACCTATGTATAAGAAGCAGCTCAGCTGGTCTGTGGAAACCTTTTCTGGTCTAGTGAGTATCTTGCACTTAAAAGTAAATATCAGAGAGATAATATCACAAACTTACTTTTTAAATAGATTTTCCCATGCTCAGTCCTTTTTACACTGGTGGAAAATTACTTGCCTACAGCTTCACACTTTGCAGAATAATTTTTTATTTTAAACTAGTCATTCACTTGTGTTACCTTAGTGATGTACCATTTCCTAAGCCCATAGGAATGTAAATATAGAAATAAAGAATAATGCATTCCCAATTTACAAATGCTTTGTATTTCAGAAGTTTACTTGTGAGTGGATTGTTGGAAATTTAGAACCAATGTTTCCTGGGAAACAGTTTATTAAATGACTGTTGGGTGTTTATTACAGTCTAAGAATATATTTTACTCGCACCATAGAAAAATCATTGCTACCTTGAAAAAATATAAGAAAGTCAATTTCAATGTGAAACTAAATATAAAATAATGATGTTGGATAAGATATTATTTTTATTTATTCTAAATGTTAATGCTTGAGGAAAAGCAAGGTTAATAGGTGGATAGTTATTTGGAAGGATGCTCATGGGTTTTTTGGGTACTTTCGTGAGCTTTCAAGGTTGATTGCACTGTTTTTGAGATCTAATCTGACATTGAAATCAGATTTCTCTTTTTCTTGCTACAAGAATATTTCTGGCCATTGAGTTCATACTTAGCCATTCCTAAGGTTTAGCCCAGTGTGTGGCACATAATGGGTACCTGATAATAGTTATCGCATGAGGACTAAACTGTTTCTTTGGCTCACAAAAATGGAAATGAGTTATTTTTTCAAGATATCCAAAAAAGGAAAGAATGGGGCATATGTTTTTCATTATGAGAAAGAGATGTCCTGACAAGAACTGATTGAATTGTGAGATGTGAACAAAAGTAAGACAGAATAGGTCTAGCTCTGAAGAGAACCAGAAAAGACCATAGTGTAACTTGGTGGCTGTCTTGAATGAGTAGGAATGGTGACGAGGGGGAGGCAATTTGCAAAGTAGGTATCTTGAGTACGTGGGACATTCTAAAGTCAGGTGTCAACTTTAGCTCAGAGGATTATGTATTTGCAAATGTTTACTAGGACCCATATGAAGAAATGTGGCTTATTCGGAAAACTCATCTTGGGTCTATGCAAATTAACTTTACTGGTCCAGAAAGTCTGTCTGAAGTGCCAGTATATGAAATTTAAAAGTCAAATGCAATATGCATATGTATGAAATAATAATGAAATAAACCCTACAGTAGATGCAGGTTTCAGTTATCTTGGATGATTTGAAGTGGCAGAAAAACTTCCATTTGATCAAAAAATACGTTATTTAGTCTATTTTAAATCTTATGTAGTAGATTTGGAGTAGCCTTAAATGGTATATAATAGGTTCTTAATAAATATTTACTGAATGGATGAAGGCAGATTTGCACAATTTTCCATTTCTGGTATATATATGTCTGTGTTTACATGTGCATATATATTTATAATGTGGCTTAAAGATTATTTTCAACTGATATTCACATAACCAAAAAATCTATTAAAACTATATTAGCATGTCTATTAATTATAGTTAAAGTGTTTCACTAATTAATTAAGCAGAGATCTTTCCTGCTTATAAGTGAGATAATATACTTTCCTGTTTTGTAACTTAAATGTCTTAAATTTCTAGGGGAAACTCATGTAGTCCCTTCCAACTCTGGAAGGATGAAAGATTATATGAAATTACTCAGCCAGAAAAACCAAATCAACTTTGAACAGCTCTGGGATAACAGATAACTTTAGCAAACTCACTTTCATCTCTACTCTCTCGTGTTAAAGTTTTTATAGATTGACAGGTAATAGACACAGGGCTTACTGAGGCTATGAAATCATTGTATTTCACACTATTCTTATAAACTGTGTCTTAATATCAATAACAGTATCTAATCAGAATTTGTTATGTGTAATATGTATGTGCTTCCAAGAAATACTGAAAAATGAATTATGAGTTTCCCTTGATAATTCTATATTTTAAAGAGTAACCATTTGTGAATTTCAGTGAGATCTAATGCTTTAATGATAGTTACCAGTTTTTGAAAATACTGACTTAGGTTCAGATCTCTGCTATTAATTGAGATTGTAAAATTCTAATATAAAATTATCAATCATTAACAATTATTAATAGCTAATAAAAGTAGAAAATTTTGGAAGGTTGAAATGACTGGAGCTGTCAACAGAAATATTAGGAACCTAGTGAATAAGGCTATTCATTTTTTTTTTCTGCAATTACAGTAGTCTAGTAGGATCCTTAGATAATAAATGTATCAGTAGTTATATATATTCCTAAATTTATATGTTAATTCTTTTTTAAATTTATTTTAGTGTTACTGTACATTAGAAATAAGGAGTGATTAACAAGGGACATGAGTTTTCTTATAAAAGAGTTTTTATTCTGATGTAAGTCTGAGTGAGGCTTCCAGATGAATGGGACTTATAAAAAGCTCCTCACAACATTTTTCCATTTCTGTGTAAATTGTCCATTTTTAGAAAATGCCTCTCCCTCAAATTCTGTTAATGAAACTTATTTAAAAAAGATGTTCTTGGTTATTTTGAACTGAGAAAAAGGATTATCAGTGAAAGTCTTTATTTATACTTTATTTTTCACTCATGTCTATAGGTTTTCAAATACAAAATTCAGTTGTGGTGCTTTCTAATTACATTTAGGATATATATTTTCAAATGGAAAAACTGAAGCTTAGAAGATACTGTTGGAAGATCCTTTGACATATATAATATGCTTCATAATGAATATGGTATTATTACATATATAATGATATGCTTTGTGACTTAATCATCTTTGTGAAGGCAATTCTAAATTACCTTTTATGGGGGAGAGTCTTCTTGGATACAGCAAATACTGTAGAACTTTAAGGTACACATCTTTGTTTTAAAATTTTCATATAATCAAATGCACCCATTTTAAGAGAACGGTTCAATTAGCATTGACATACGTATGTACTCATGGAACCTCCATCCCATTGAGTTTTCAAAAATGAATTTACAGGCACAATTATTTGCTATGTACATTTGATTTCATTTCCTTCTATCTGTGAATCCTATTTGGAATACAGATAAAATAATGGTATCCCTGAACTTTTCTGCATTTTTTTTCTTTTGAGACAGAATCCTGCTCTGTCACCCAGGCTGGAGTGCAATGGCACAATCTTGGCCACCTGCTCTGTCACCCAGGCTGGAGTGCAGTGGCACAACCTCCGCCTCCCTGGTTCAAGTGATTCTCCTGCCTCAGACTCCTGGGTAGCTGGAATTACAGGAGCGCGCCACCATGCCTGGCTACTTTTCTTGTATTTTTAGTAGAGACAAGGTTTCACTATGTTAGCCAAGCTGGTCTCGAACTCCTGACCTCACGTGATCTGCCCACCTCAGTCTCCCAAAGTGCTGGGATTACAGGTGTGACCACTGTGCCCAGCCCCAATATATTTTTTTTTTTTGTGGTGGTAGATTTATTTTAATTATTTTAGTTTAACAGAAGGTTTAATTATTTTAATTTAACAGAAGCTTTAAGTTACATTAATAAGCTCTCAGAAATAAATTTGGAAATGTTCCTCTCTAACTCATTGTTGATCGTAGAATAAATAGACTTAAGTGAAGGTTCATTTTTAAGTTGCTTTCTTAAAATGAGTTGGCAGTTTGGTTATACCTCTGGAAATGTTGAGACTTCACTTTTGGCTTCAGAGATAAATTTCTCACTCCCTTCAGTTTTGCTAGGAAAACTTTGACATTCAAA